GCTTTTCCCCATTGTGAATCCGCATATGAACTGTCAAATGTGATTTGTTGATCGTTCTATATACGCAAATGTCGCATTCGAATTGGAGAGGATCGCATAACTTTTCATGATTGATCTTATCGGATTCGTGTTCAAATCGTTGATAACATTTCGAACAACGAAACTGAGGTTTCGGACCATACGTTTTCTTATGCTTGTTCAAATCACCTTTTCGTGCAAAGGACTTTGAACAAACATCACACTGAAACGGCTTTTCTCCAGTGTGAGTTCGCAAGTGTACTTTGAGGTTAAACTTGTCTCTTGCCAAATGATTGCACACATGACATTTGTGCTTCTTTTGCTTTTTGGTCACTTGATTCCTGGGAATAGTTTGTTTGTTTTGTCGTTTGGAGCTTTTATTCCGTTTCTTTCCACTGCCAACTGGTTGCAGTGGTTGAACATCGATTGTGTCATCCATAGGCACGTCGTTGTCATTGGCGGCGCCTTCATTCGATCGTTCACGACGTGCTGAGTCCTTTTCTTTGACCGTTTCTTCTTCTTCACATTTCATTTCATCCTTTACTACATCGAAGTCATAGCCAAAGTCGACCGGTCCGTCGTAATTCGCACGATATCCTCCCTCAACTCTCGGCCGTGGTATGTTCATGACACTTTCTTCGCCGTCGTTGGGCTCTTCCTTAATACCAGGCTCTTGCTTGATTTCAGGCTTCGTAACTTTTGCCTTGCGCTTGCAGCGTCGACCAGAAACACCTTTGAATGGGTTCATTTTCTGTTGAATTCAAGAAAAATACTGAAAATTAATCTTTTATAAATAAATCAACTCCATGCAAACCACGTGTTAGTCGCGTCTACAGCAGAGACAAAAGAAATGCACACCAAATGTTGACATAAGCCGGTGTTTTAGGTTATTGGTTATCAATTTTCATAAAACTTCGCTTTGTTTGTCACTTTTAGACCGAATTTATACTCAAAAATTGACATTTGAATAAATGAAAAATATCCAACACTTACGTTTGTCGTCGCCCTTTTTTCTGCTGAAAATGCTTTTTTCCACGTAACTTTCAAGATGTCAGCCATACTCCGTGGCTGAGAGAACAATCCAGAACAACGCGCAGTTTGTAAGCTACGGCATCAGTGCTAAAAGTTACACAATTGCAAGCATGCTATTTGTATTGGTGTGTTTCGTTGAGTTTTCAACGACGCAAAGTGACACTTCATCCCGATTCGTAGCTGTCAATTGCGCAAATTCAGAGCTCATTTCAAAAATGTCGGTTAAATTCATGCAAAATTTTTCTTCTACAATTTCCAATTTGTTGAAATAAATGTTCTGAAACGAAACGTTTTTTTCTTTGATAATAATGATCATTCTGCTATTCGAATAAAAAATCTGCGATAATTGTGCAAATGACATTCGAATAATGAAATTTTTAACTCTACCGCTATCATCTATTGCCATTGTCCCGAAGAATATGGTTTTACGAAATATTTGTTGAGTCGAAGCAAAGAAACAGAATGGATGGCTGAATTGAAAGCAAAGTCGATGGAAACGACGGACATTTTGGTGCTTTCATTCCGCATGATAGAGAGATATTCAATTGTCAAACAATAACCAACTCATTCGTTGTGTTTATGTTAAAATGTAAACAAATTTGTATTGCAGAATTATGCATGTTTCGCTAACCGCAACAAACGAGGGGCAAACCACTCAAAAGTAATACTGTGTATTAGTAATACTGTGTATTAGTATTACTTTAAGTAATACTAATGTAAATATTACCTTGTATTACTTTAGTATTACTTTTTTCAAACAATAGTATTATTTTTAAAAGGAGTATTAATTTATCAAAAGTAATACCACTTTTACCTAGTATCACTTCGTATTACTTCGCAGGTATTATGTATTACTTTTGAGTGGATTGCCCCTTGGCAACAAATGTTATTCTAAATTCTGGCTCAACAAATGCGTGAAATTTAAACGAAACAATTTCATCCGATCAACAATAATATTCTAAAAATCCAATCGAATCGGATACATCCGCTTGTGACTTGCTCTTGGATTATAAGATTCGAATAACTGTGTTTTTTCATATTATGGGAAATCGAATGTTTTTCACTGAAACTTTCTGCAATTCGAATAAAGTGAAATCAGCTTATGGCTGGTAAATCAAAACAAAGCTCTGACGTCTACTATGCGAAACCACTGTAGTGCGTTTTGTTTTTAAAATAGATAAAATTATACTCAGTATTGCGAAATGTGAGACAAATCATACTGTCGACTTGAGAGCGTTAGCCGTTGGGAATGTTGCAAATTGGCACTATTAGCTTAGCTGTTCAAACATATTACATTCAGATCTGACCGTCTTTATTTCAAGTCTGTCGTTGCTTCTTCTGCTACCGTTATGTCAATGTGTACAATGTGCACGAATTGCGATGCAAATACAAATAAAATGATTTTCAGCCAAAGCATTTCTTTAATCTAAAAAGATGAAGAGAAATGATGCAGTAACGTTTTGGAGTGTCGACAGAAACGATGCAATAAGCATTCACAACGATCATAATGATTCGAGTTGAACTGGTGATTTTATTTCTGTTGCTTGTGATTTGTCAGTGGCAAGTAGAATGTGGAAACAAAACAGGGACAGATTGGTCGATTCTATATCAAAGAGTTCTAACCCTCCAATTCGGATTAATCTACAACAAAAATTTGGATAAATACGTGAATTTATCAGAGCATTCGACCAACGATAACAAAGCGCTAATCGATGACAGAACCAAAGTTAAACGATCATACAACACGAAACAATGCATAAAAGATTTGAGAACGATTCAAGAAGCGTTTAATGATCGAAAGAGCAATTGGGCGAATGAAAGTAAGCCATTTTCTTCGAATTGAACGTGTTAATTTTACTGAAACACCATGATCTTTTATTTACCCAAAAACATATCTCAAACAATTTGTTACGTAGTGTTAGGTGCATGGGGCAAGATGCCGCCGGTTGGATTTAATAAAGATTTTGGAAACTTTGATCGATGTCATGATTTACAAATGAACAAATCGATTAACATTGAAACGCAATACTGTTTGGCCGAAATTGATTCAACAAAATCCAATGTAGGATACATGTAAGGCCATATTAAAAATTCTATTCCAAATAAAAAGTTTGACAATACTTAAAAAGAGTAGAAGATTCTTCTACTGCGTTTCAGAGAGTGCATATTTGCTGCTGAGCAGGCATGAGCTGAGCTGAATTTACTGACTCAGGCACCTGAAGAGGTATTTCAACGCACTTATGGTGCAAAATTCTCATTGTTAGCTGAGATCCACGTTGTTCATCAATTACATTAAGGTGAATCTCAGCTAACAATGACAATTTCACACCGTAAGTGTAGTAAAATACCGCTTCAACCGCCTGGCGGAGTCAGCAAATTCAGCTCAGCTCAGGTCTGCTCAGTAGCAAATATGCACTCTCTGTTCCGTTTTAAGCATGAGCTCAATATTTTAATTTTCTTCGTACACCGTTTCCAGCACACCTGAATGGTTGCAAGTGGGCATGTGTTTGCCGAATTCGTGTGCGCCATCACTGATAGCCACCATATTGAATGATTATTTGGATGCAAATAAAATGATTCAAATAAATATTCGGGCAAGTCTATGTAGATTCAAAAATGACAACTCAACTCTTTTCTTCAGTTACAAACTCTTCATGTAAGTTTATTTTCCATCGACTTCGAATTATTCAACTGACAAAATAGTTCTTTTCTTTAAAGTGCATTCCTCACGATGGTACTTGGTTTAGTCATTTTGAGTTCGATTTATGATGTTACATTCACTGTACGAGATGGTAGGTGCAGACAATTCATTTAAAAAGAGCCATCAATTGATTTTTTTATAATTGCAATTTGTCTAGAACCGAAAAACCCATTGTTGCTGGCCTTTTCAGCGTACACAAACGGGAAAAATCTGTTTGCATGCAAATCAAATCAGTCGCCCAATGTCATGCCATTTTTAGATGGGATACGCGCTATTGCTGCATTATTGGTGGTATCAGCTCATTTCGATTGGTTCGGTCTGGAAGCTGTCGTGAACACAGGCCCCTATGCATCGGTTGCTGCCCAACTCAAACGGATTTTTGTCAGTGGTCGCTTCTCTGTGGATACATTTTTCGTCCTAAGTGCACTTCTCGCGGCTAATAAAATGCTCAACGAACATTCAAAGTAAGTAACTGAATTGGAAAATCGGTCTATTTTAACTTTTGTCACCCTCTGCTTGTCTGCCATAAGGACCAATGTATTTTATGCAATATTGTGCAGAAGTGGCACCGAAATACAATTTGCGGTATTCTTGTTGTTGTTGTTGTTGTTGTTGTTGTTGTTATCAATTTCGCAACAATCACTATCATTGCCTAAAACTCCATTTTACCACAATTTGTACAGTTTGTACACTTCTGCATTGCGCCAGCCACCAGCAGTGGTTGCTTTTGAATAATTTAAAAATGAAATTTTTTCCTTTTAGAAATGGTCGATTAAACATTCCTGTTTTATACTTGCAACGCATGTTACGCTTATCTCCAGTATTGACAGTCGTTGCACTTTTCTACCGATTTTTTTTACAATTCTGTGCAAATGGACCGGCATATAGTCTTTATCTCGACCCTAAAAGGAAGAATTGTGAAAATTCCATGTGGGACTCAATACTGTACTTCGATAATTTGCGCATGAAACAGGTACTTCTGTGTGAAGCATTCGCAATATCCACAATTTTCTTTTTCAAACATATCAAATCAGTGTGTTCTAGGATCCTGGTATCTGGCTGCGGATATGCATTTGTATCTCTTGACACCGTTTTTGGTGTTGCTATTGCAGCGTCATCCAAAACGATTCATGGCTTTTTCGTCTGTGTTCATTTCAATTGATTTCATTTTATCATTGGACAAAAAACTGTTTGGCTTGGACGGGTTTGTATCATCGACATATTTATTTAGATTAGAAATATTATCAAGTTCATTGTAAAATTTCTTCACAATCAGATATGACAGCCATTTTACAACACAATCTCACATCACACCATGGTTGATTGGCGTTATTTTTGCTTACATTTTATTGCGAATGCGTTCGACAACACCTATTCGTCTACCAAAGGTAATGAATAATTCTAGCGAATGAATATTTTTTCAAAATGACTACAAACCGAACCTTTTCAGTTGTTGAATATTCTTCTATTGACTGGATCAGTGAGTGTTTTTCCGTTGCTTACATATGCGATTGGGCACGTGGATGACATCTTTTGGAAAGGACGGGTTTGGTGGTCATTATCAGTTAGCTACATCATATTCGCATGCGTAAATGGTCAGGGCGGTATCATTAATTGGCTTTTATCACTACCACGGTGGCAACCGATATCACGGCTTAGCTATAATCTATATCTGATTCATATACCGGTAATCGCGATTATACATGCTAACCGACAAGTGCCGTGGTATTTTTCGTCTCTTACACAGGTAGTGATAATTCATTTGGTTTGCGCTTTAATTTACAATTGAATTAACGTGAAATTTGAACACATTTAGGTGCACGATCTGTTTTTAGTTGCGTCCACTTCTTGTGCCGCTGCTGTTGTGCTAGCATTGACAATCGAAATGCCGGTAATAAATTTAAGCCACATTTTCTTATACAAAAATAAAAATAAAGCGCGATCTTAGGATTAGGAAATCAAGATTTCATTCGAAATATCAGTTTTATTTTCAAAACATTGATAAAATACTTTATTCTCATTTACACAATTTATCCTATACATTGACCCCATGTCGTCCTGTTGGATCTATCTGCCTCATGGGACTAATTCTCCATATAATTATAATTATATGTGAGCTATTGGAAGGCATGTCGAATTACCGAAAACTTTTTTAGCGAATCCAAAAGTACCGAAAATCATAAATTCGTCCAACAAATGCTATTTTGAATTCTGGTATAACAAATGCATTAAAGTACGAATTACCCGTAGCACTAACAGTCTGTGCCATTTTTTATATGGCGTCTCCACTCGTATAAGGTTTGTATTATGAATGTTAAGATGCGTGCAACGCCTTTCAATGCAAAAACAATACAAATGGAGGATGTCACACGGGTGTTATCTGTACTGGAACCGTATATATTTACCGATATTTACACAGTATTTTCGCGTAAGAGTTAGATGTATGTGTGAGTCACGACACATGCGATTATAAATTATGTGAGTAGAATTAAACTGCTGAGACTGAATACTAAACTTTATCGTGAGTTTGCAAAAGCGGAATTAGAATAAGTTAGAATGAACTCTCGCTCTGTCCATGAAAGAGAATTCATTTATATTCTAATTCTTTTGTAATCGGAAGTCTCAGGAATATTTTCTGAAAACTCGACAAAGAATGAAGCGAATGGACAACTAATCGGAAAAAGCTCAAATCAAGTATAAATACAATATAATGAAATTCCGCTTTGAATTCGAAACATGAGATATCATGGTATCAACACATTTCCCAAACACCACTTGTTCCATTCCTTGATCGAAGAAATTGCTGTGAAAATAAGGACAGAAATAAAAGTCAACTCTCTTCGCTTTTTGTTTCAATTTATTTCAGTTTTGTTTCATTCGAAAATGGAGCTTAGATCTAAGGTGGTATTCATGAAGTTTTTGTATTGAAGAATATTGAATGTTATTTCAAATTGATTTCAAAAATTGAATTGGTTTGAAAGTGTTTCAAATGTATAAAAGTGTAAGTTCAGTTATTGCGTTCATTTAAGCGCATCCAGCTCAACTATTTGTTAATGAGTTTATCGACTTATGCAAATATGCGATGCATGATTTGTCACTTCTTCAAACGGTGAACATTTTTCATGTGTTGATTGGCATCGCCTTTCCTGACAAAGCTTGCTGCACACACTTTGCATTGAATCCGCTCTCCGGTGTGATCTTTTCGCATGTGAATCTTCAACGTATTTTTCGAACGAGAATGCTCTTCACACAAATGGCATTGATACTGACGCCGGCCACAGATGTCTTCATGAACCTCTTTTGCATCTTCGGTTGCGTATCCTCCGAAGCACTTGGAGCATTGGAATGGGAATTGGTCGCTGTGTGCTGTAGACAAATGCTGATTTAAATAAATCTGTTCAGAGAATTGTTTGCTGCAAATTTCACATTCGATCGATCTTTTGGCTCCGTGTTTTGATTGCATGTGCCTCTTGAATGTAGTCTTGTGGACAGTTTTGTAATGACACTGATTACATGCGAAAAGTCTTCGTTGGCAGCGCGTTTCGTGTGTTTGCTTATCTTCTGGAGTGGCAAATCGTCGGCCACATTTCGAACAAGCATTCGGCTGTCCATCGATGTGGGTCATTGAATGACTTCGGAGACGAGTGTTGGTTGTAAACGACTTGAAACAAATTGAGCACTCGAACGGCTTTTCCCCGGTGTGAATCCGCATATGAACTGTCAAATGTGATTTTTTCATCGTTTGGTATCCGCAAATATCGCATTCGAATTGCTGAGGACTACATAGCCTTTCATGATCGATCTTGACTGATTCGTGTTCGAATCCTTGATTACATTTTGAACAACGAAATTGGCCATGCGTTTTCTTATGACGGTTCAAATCACTTTTTCGTGCAAAGGACTTCAAACAAACATCACACTGATACGGCTTTTCTCCAGTGTGAATTCGCAAGTGTCGCATGAGTTTAGACTTACAACTTGCCAAATGATTACACACATGGCATTTGTGCTTCTTTTTGGCCGCTTGATTCCTGGGAATCGTTCGTTTGTCTCGTCTTTTGGAGCTTCCATTCCGTTTCTTCCCGCTACCGACTGGTTGCGGTGGTTGCACATCGAATGCGCCTCCCATAGGCTCTTCGTTGTCATCATCGTTTGCGGCAGCGGTGTCATTCGATCGTTCACGAGGTGCCGAGTCCTTTTCTGTGCCCGTCTCTTCTTCTTCACACTTGATATCATCCTTTACCTCATCGAAGTCATAGTCAAAATCGAATGGCCCATAATAATTCACACGATATCTTCCACCAACTCTCGGCCGTGGTATGTTCATGACAGCGTCACTGCCGTTGGGCTCTTCCTTAATACCAGGCTCTTGCTTGATTTCAACCTTTGCGGATTTCGATTTGCGCATGCAGCGTCCACGAGAAACACCCTTGAATGGGTTCATGTTCTATTGGATTAAAAAAAACATTGAAAATCAAAATTTAACAAATCAATCAACTCCTTGCAAAACACGTGTTTGTCACGTCTACAGCAAAGACGATAAAATGCGTACCAAAAGTTCACCTAAGCCATTGTTTTAGACTATTGGCTGTCAATTTTTATAAAAATCCGCTGAATTTATCAATTTTACGACCGAATTACAAAATTTCATACTCAAAAATGGACATCTGAATAAATGAAAAATATCCAACACTTACGTTTGTCGTCGCCCTTTTTCTGCTGAAAATTCTTTTTTCCACGTAACTTTCAAGATGTCTGTCTCACTCAGTGGCTGAAAGAACAATCTAGAACAACGTACAGTCTGTAAGCGACGACATCATTGCTAAAAGTCACACACTTGCAAGCATGCTATTTGTATTGGTGTGTCAATTCAGAGCTCAGTTCAAAAATGTCGGTTAAATTCATGCAGAATTTTTCATTTTCGATTTCTAATTTATTGAAATAAATGTTTTGAAACGAAACGTTTTGTTCTTTGGAAATAATGATCATTCTGCTATTGAAGCTATGAAACTTTCGATTCTACCGATAAATGATATCGTCACTTGTCCGAAGAAGATGAGTTTCACGAAGTAATCATTGAGTCGAAGCAAAGAAACCGAATGGATGGCTGAAAATTGACAGCAACGACGGACATTTTGGTGCCTGCATTCCGCATAATAGAGAGATGTTTATTGGTCAAACAATAACAAACTCATTCGGTGTGATTATGTTAAAATGTAAACAAATTTGTATCGCAGAATCATACATGGATCGCGAACACAACAGGTGCCACTTTAGATTCTGGCTCAACAAATGCATTAAATTTATTCGAAATAATTTCATTTTGTTGATTAATAAAATTTTGAAGATCTGATCGAATTGAAACACTTGAATTTACGCTGTCTTTCTGCACAAAAGTTAGATGTGTGAGTCATGGCACATATGAGTATAGATTATGTGCAGAATACAACTGAGTTCGCAAACATATGTGTCAGTTGAACAAAATGCAGTCGAATTGAACCCATGAGAGAGAATACCAGACTTAATTGCAATATTTACAAAAGGAGAATTTGAATAAGTTTGCTGAAAAAGGGAACTAGAATTTGTCGCGCGAGTTAATGTCTGATATGAATATTCAAACAGATTTAAATAAAATGCTTAGAAACTTTTATTCTCTTTGTGCACTATGTGCGTTTATTGATAATAAAAGAGTGCCAGTAACAGTGCTTACGGGTTATTTATATGTTTTCAAATCTAATCATTTTAGAACGAATTCGATAGTTATTTCGTTATGGTAGAACTTGAAAATTAAAATCGAACAATTAAATAGTATATAATTAAATTTGATATTGAAATTGAAATTGGATCGTATGTTCGAGTTCTATCATGATGAAATAACCAATATTAAACTTGATATTGAATTTTGATTTGGACCATGATGAATTTAAGATTGAATTTTCTATATTTACCAAAAGTTAATTAATATCAATAAGAGAACAATATATGAACTAAATGTGTATGAATTTACTTGTGCATTGTGCAAAATATAAAAATATTTAGAATATCAAAGATAAGTGATATTAACTCGCGCAAAAGAGAGTCATATTGCTGTTGTATTCGAGGCTGAACAAAGTCATAGTGCGACAGTACAAAGGGTCGTATTTGCGTACAAACATTTCGAAGTGCCTTTTTTGTGTACAACGTATTCAAATACTGTAGTGGTGAACATTTCGATTGAGTCTGTGATTCATTCTCAGTGGTTCAATTAAGGCTAATGAGATCCAATTCATCATGCATTTATGCTGGCAAATTGGGCAAATTCAATAAATGAAATCGCATAGAACCAGTCAGTGTCCATGATAGAGAATTCAATCATCTTTTAATTCTTTTGAAATCGGAAGTCCCAAGAATATTATGATATTTTCGCAACACTCGGCAAAAAATGAAGCAAATGGTCAATTGATCTGAAATCAATTCAAATCAAGGATAGGGGTATTGCAGCGACCATAAAACATATGTATTTCATCAAGTTTATCAAGATCTTTCCAAGTTCATGCATAGTGTCGAACTTTTGTTCAAGCTCTACCATCTAAATGTACAGTAAAATAATTTACGGGCACGACGTAAGATGGCGTTTTTTCTGGTCAAAAAAGTTGTAATATCCCTTTGAAATCAAGTATTTGGATACAATACAAAAGTAATCCGATTTGAGTCCGAAACATTATCGTAAAAATTGACAAACTCAATTAAAGTGCAGAGTTGATTTCGTATCAACACATTTTCCAAACACCATTTGTTGCATTCGTTGATCGAAAAAATTGCTGTGAAAATAAGGACAGAAACAAAAGTCAACTCTCTTTTCTTTTGGTTTCAATTTATTTCTGTTTTGAATCTAAGATTGTTTTGAAAAATATTGAATGTTACTTCGAAATGATTTCAAAAATTTAATTGAATTCAAAATGCTTCAATTGTATGAAAG